AAATTTCTGCGCTTTAAGTGCGTTGACCAAACCAAACACAATCTATCCATAGAGCAGTTAAAAATTATAAAAGAAATAATTTCAAATAAAAGCCATTATCTGTTCTTTTGTTTGTCTTTATATGCTTAGATACAAGCCCTGTTCCGTTGACAGCGCTTTTAGCTTTTTTTTGGTCAACGATTAAAAAGATTTGATTATCGAGTGCTGCTCTCTGTCCAAATCAACCACCGGCAGAGACGGCTTAGTAAGATCGTCGCTACCGTGCACTCAATTCAGTCGCACTTTTTTTCAGTTTGCTAAACAATTATACTATAAAGTAATATGTGTAAGAAGAAAGAGTAACATATCATTCGCTAATATTTCAGAGCCAAGAGCAGGAAATTTATTAGAGGCTATAAAAAGTTGATGACTGATAATAACTGATAGGTTATATTTAATCACTAACCAAAAAATATCAACAGCAGGAACTTTCAGCGCAAAAATCAACCATAAGTAGACAGCTACCAAAAAGTATCATATTTTGACTACGTACGACTGTTTTTATACTTTTATCGAAAATGAAACAGTTGACGTTACCACTGCAACCGCTGACGTTACTCATCCTTTCGTGAAAAATAGGGTGAATATCAAAATATCATCAATTCTTTTCTAATTTTTTAATTTTCTATTTTATTATTATTTCTTGATAAAAACAGAACATTGCTGTAATTTAAATATACTGCTAAATATGTCGTTTTATATCCCACTTTAAACAATAAATTGACTCACTAATCTATTAATCAGCTGAAAAAATAACTAAAATTACAAAACCTTGTGGGATTACTCAATTATTGGGATCATACATAGTTCCTAATTCTTGTCAACTCTTCGCAATACAATAACAAAAAAAGACTCAAAAGGAAAAGCAAATACTTTTCTTGACTATAAATTTTTTAAACGGCAATTCTTTTGATTAATGTAAAAAAAAATAAAGAAAAAAAAAGAAATAAAAAGAAATAAAAATATTGATGTTGAACACTTTTTGCAAAAAACGGCTCAGTAACCTCAAAATGTTACATTCATTGTAAAACGAGCAAGTTTTATCAAATATAGTATATTAAAGAAACAGAAGGAACTTTACATAAGACTATCTTTTTGTTCTTCTAACAGAGAAGGTATTGTCACAAATCATCTACAAGATCTCTAGAAAGACGACAACAACAACAAACGAAAGCCAAAGGAGCTATTTAATCCACCTCTTCTGATCATGTACTGCTAGTCTCGTATCACTGAACTCCTGCTTTGTATTCGTCCACTTTTGAGCAACGAAGGCCCAGATGTCTAGGGGAGCTAACGGCTCAATGTAGAAAAAAAGATACAGACAAAAAAATAAAAACTTCTTTTAGGTACGTTTTTTTAAGCACCCTTGAAGACAAAATCAAAGACCAATATTTGCCAAAAAGCTTAGACTTAGATTACAAATTTATTCAACTAAAAACTAACTAACAGTAAAACCCGAGAAACTGAGAAACAGCAGAACAGAGATTGGCGCGACAACAAATAGATCCCAACTCAGCTTCGGCTGGCACTAAAAAGGACAGCGGGTTTTGAAAATATGTGTGCTATAACTGCTTCAGCAGGGGAAGTGGAAGTACAGGCAGCGTTACGAAGCATTAGGCATATCTTTTTGTACTAAGCAAAGAATAATGTTGTAAAATCCAAAGTTTACTTTCGCAGCAGGGTTTAAAAGTCACCAAATTTTTCTAGTCACTACAAATAGTAACCAAAAAATTGCTAAAAAAATGAGCTTCTTAATTTCGGTTTTTCACTTGTAGGCTTCAAACAGCTCTTTTGGCAACAAACTAAAGTTTTTTTCCTTCTCATTTCCCAAGTAAGTAGTCCCAAACGCTGTTGCTACGCGACTGTTCTTAGCAAATAACAAAAATCTGACCTTAGTATAGGGAAGGTGTATTTGTTGTCAAAAAAATTTTTGCAGTAATTTCACTAATGTTTTACTTCATTAAATGCAAAATCGTCTTGGCAACTTTAGGCTAATGAAACACCAAAGGACTGTTTCCTTGACAAAACTAACCATTAAAATCAGTCATATCCCCCTTACCCGTCTTAACAATTAAATTAAGCTAACTGGATAAACAAAATTAAAATTTTATCCACTCAATTCATTGTGGCAAAGTGAAATTTCAGAAACATTCTTCCTTTTAAAGTCTTCATGTCGTCTTGGCCTTCGCAGTACCACGGTATTGTACGAATCGTCTAAACTTCTACAAAATTTGTCTGTTCTCCTTTCACACTAGCTTTTCAGCAAGTCCTCTTCGACAGATAGTTTATAGTCGTCAAAAAGTAGAAAACTTTCAAGTCTCTTATCTTTAGAAAAAAAAAACAAATTTTTGATACGAAAAAACCTGTTTCACGAACTGCAGTTTTGTTACGACTGCTGATTTAGTACTTCCCCCTGTTGAAAAAATGCTGCATCATTTGGCGCTCGCTCTTAGCAGCCAACTATTATTGCTACAGATTCTCATACCAAATGGTAATTTCTTCAGTAATAATCAAACTTTTCCTTTTTTTTATTATAGAGCAGCCAAATTGAATACTTAATAACAAAAAAAACTGTGCTTTGAGTGCAAGAAATAATAGTTAAAATTGAAAAAACTTTTTTTGGAAAATTAACTTTACACTTCTTAGTATCAAGAAACTAATTTTTTTAATTGATATGGTTACAGTTTAAAGGCGGCTACAGCCTATTTCCACTTTCCATTCTCAGGCTCGCTTAAGTGTCGTAAAACATGGCCTGCTTTACAATACCGATAGAGTAGAAAAAAGATATCTGCATCCTTTACGCCGCTGGTTTTCCAGCTTACATTTCTATCGGCTCTTATAAATTCGTTTAGAATTACACCATTTATTCCCTGTTACCTATAAAATAATTCTCCACCTATTATTATACGACTAATTTAGGTGCCGGTGGAAACACTCAAGCACAGGTACTATGTTGCCCACTAGCAAGCAACAGTGACACTGGTTTTTGGGTAAGCATACGAAATGATAATTAAGTAAAAGAGGAAATAGCCTTAACGAAAGTATATCACCGTTGTGACAAATAATCAAATACATCAAATTAATTAAAGCAAGAAACTTATCATACCTCTTTAAAAACAAGTCTGTAAAAGAGCAAACAAGTCAGTTTGCAACCTTTTGAATTGCATAAAAAGGTAAAAAACGACGTTACCTTATTTAATAAACAGTATTAATTCAAAAACTTACAAAAAAATAAATTTAACTTCAAAAAAATTTTGGCGACAAACTAGGCAACAAGACAAATGTGATTTCCTTCTTCTTTGAGGCCTATATACAGTGATGATCGTAAACTGTGTTTACCGTTTTCTCAATTTCAGGTGCTAGAAGCCAATAGTGTAAAATGCTCGCCTTATCTTTTCATTAACACAACTCTTTGTTCTATAGGTAAGAAAAACTTTTTACAAACTAGAATCTAGTTTTTTTGCAAACGATATGTCATAATTTTGTATGCAGATATAACTCTTACTTCACAGCAAACAAACATCAACTAACAAATTAACTCAAATCCAGCTAGAGAAAATTTAAAAAACTTCAAAAGTCGAGTCCCACTACTGCTTCATTTTACTTGACATTGAGAGCGCGTTTTCCCAAAAGCGCCTGTCCAGGCCAATTCAAACAAGAGAAACTAAAAAATTTTTTCGTTGTTCTACATCGAAGTTCAACAGAAAATGAGAACAAAATATGGAAGTGACAAAGCAATAAGGCAGAAATTGTTGTACTGCTCGTTTTACAGGCAAATTGAAAAGTAGGATTAAAACGCTAAAAGTGGTGTTCGAATACAAAACAAATAAGGAATACTACGTCTGGAACGACCTGGCAGAGGATCTTTCAAGCAATATTGACAATTGCGTAGGGTCTCAAACTTATTGCAAGGTCTCTAGCAGGAAATCAGATGTTGATTATGGTTGTAACAATAAAAATGCTGCATTCATCACTTCAAGTTGTAGTATCCCAAAGTACTCATTCGTGAACTTTGCAAAGATTCCGTTCAATCAATGTAGCGCAGGTGAGTGAAGCTTTACCTGTTTCCAACTTTTACGATTCAGTTGCTTTCCCAAGTGCTTTCAAGCAAAACAATCATTGAAAAAAATTGATAATGGAGTTTAACCAACGATACACGTGTGTAATCTACTTTCTCTTCAAGTGCAATTTTCAGTACTGCATAATTTAAACTTACTCATCATGAACAGTCCAGATGATAGCGTTGAAATGATCGTTATTTCAAAAATCATAAAAGTCGCAAACCTCAAGATAACTTTTAATATGCGTGACTATTAAACACAAAAAAATTGAACACCAGGACAAAAAAATATTAGTTTATCTTATAATTTTCGTTCCAAACCGAAAGAGAAATGTAAAAAAAAAATTGTTTTTGGTCGAAAAACTTGTTACTTTGACGCTTTTTCTAAAAATTTGGTCCTCACAACTTGTCCACCGCCAGAGAGATCAAACGAAAATGATACCTTGCTCATTTTCATTCACTACGTTTCCAAAAAAAAAAAAACAAATCATCACGGCCTAGTCTTGCAATAAAATCAAAGAAATTTGCAATCCTGAGCATATGTTAACATCATCCGGTGTTTTTTAACATCATCCGGTGTTTTGACTACCAATAAATAAATTTTCTCAGACAGCCAGCTATTAACCTTTTACTGAACAGAGGCATTATGAAAAAACTGTTGCTGCTGAACCAATTCTTACTAATGGCACATTAAATCAATGTACAAAACAGATCAGAATGAGAGAACAACCAAAAATTAACAGGTCAATAAAGATAACTGTTTTCTGTACGTTTCTTCAAAACCAATGTAAACTTTTCAGGGCTTATTTCTATGTCTTCAACAACTAGAACAAGTAAGAGCACTGAAGTTGCCAAAACAACTACAACAAAAACGAATACTGTCTCTAGAAAAGCAAACTCTATGACCAACACGAATACCACTAGAAACGCAGCCACTTTTAAGCTTAATTCGTCAACCACTATAAGCACGAGAACTACCGAAGCCAATACGTCAATCACCGAACCCATGGCAAATTCTGAAGCGACTGCGTCAACCAATGCAACTGTAAGAATTACCAAGGACGATACATCAAAAATTATTAAGTTTAGCACGACAATCTCTACAACTATAAGAACTGCTGCGCAGAATGCGTCTACCATTTCAACCAAAAAAATTACCAGGGCCAACATATCAAATACAACAACCGCAACCACTACTAAGTACAACACGACGATTGATACGACGAAGGACATCGATACAGAAATCTTCACAAAATTTGCCGCAGAAACAAACGCACCTGTCAACGTTTCTGTAGAAAGTATTCTTCTGACGCCCGTCAAAACGACCCCATTAATTGTAGAAACCACAGCGGAAAATTACTTTCATGACATCGTTATGCATCAAAACGCAACGTTATTCCCTAGCAGCTGTGTAATACACAATGAGTTCACTTCGTCTTGCGCAACAAAAGCCTCACTTCCCTTGCCTTCAACGACTGATACAACGACTGATACCAGATTTACGTCAAACCCGATCATCATGACAACGAAATTGACATCGGCATCCAAAACAGATTCATCGCACCAATCAAACCTATCGGAATTTGTAAGATCATCGCAATCTCAGGTAGCGCAAGAGAGAAATTTAACATCTCCAACAACAACAACAAGGGAAACCACTACTTTATTATACGCGAAGAAAAGCACCGTACCGGTAAGTTTAATGCAGTCAACAGAAACAAAGACGTCACTTTATTTTAAAAAAACCTTGAAGACAGCCCAGTCACTTCCGTTCCCAAAAACGCCGAAAACACCTGAGCAGCCAATGGAAGACATAAAACCGACTCCTTCTTCTTCGCTAGAAACTACTTACCTTCCTTATTCTGTAAAAAAAATAAATGCTACCGTGCCAAATTATTCTGAAAAAAATGCAATATCTATTACGTCAACACATTCATCAAAGCCGCTTTTAACTGGCAGCACGTCAAATCCTACAAAGCCGCAACAATCGGTAGATATACCTCAATCAGAAGAAACGTCATATTTTACCGCACTGCAGTATGAAAATGTCGACAAAACTACATATAAGCCTATTACATCTAAACAATTGCAAAAATTACGAGATACCAGTACAGGAATGAATCTTGAAAAATTATTGAAAACTACAGTTCCGTCAGATCTGAATAATTCAATAACGATCAAATATCAGTTACGCACTGAAGAGCAGCAAACAAAAGCATCGTATTCAGAAAATGTTACACCACCATACCACACAAAAGAGCGCAGGTCCACAACTTCATCAGCATATTTTGTTGAATCAACACGAGGCAGCTTCACGTCACAACGTGAACGATCAACCCAATCTGCGCCTACACCTTACACTCAGAACGCATTGAGCACTTTCACTTCACTAATCTCTACGAACCACCTAACCCAAAATGTTGGAAAAACAACAGACATAAACTCATTCAGATCCGAAGAACTCTCAGAACTCACAACGTTACCGCCTGGTGAAGAAAAATTGGTAACCCTTCCGCCTGCCAGTACTATAACGCCAATAAATACTTTCTGGTCATTGTTATTTACAGTAACAACAAAAATGGATGAAGCATCAAAGCTGCGAAAGACCACAAGAAAAGCCACTCCACCCGATACTAGAGAAGCATCACCAAGCAAAACGATCTCTACAGTAGATCTTACAAAGAACTTAGATTTTAAAAAAACTTCAACATCCATACCACCCGTAACCACAACGATAACAGTTGTGGAAGCTGGAAAGCACCACCCAACCGCGTTCCGAAGAACCACCATTACGACCGCAACTTTGCCATCATATTCTCTGCAAAACTTCATGAGAACAAAAACTCATAGTGAAGAACAGAAAGACTTCGGTATTTCCAGAACAACCTCTAAACATTCTTACAGTGCAATAAGCAACGAAGAACAATTTACCATGCTAGCAAAAACCACAAAAAAATCTGCCATCAGTGATGCACAAGAAGCCACAGCCATTTTAGAAAACCCTCCAAATTATCACGCCACGGTGAAAGCAGAGTTCCCGACGAACGCGCTGAGAGCAAGTGATCCGGTCAGCACAACAAAAAACGCTACCCAAGGCAATATTTACTACACTGCTGACTTGTATGGCACTACGAACTATGACAGGACTTACAATACGATATTTGATTACGCAAAAAATAAAAACACTGCTTCAGAAAATTTAAGCAGTGCAATCACAACAGGCTTTTTAGCAACGCAATCACAACAAGCTGGGGAAAGCCAAATTGGGTCTACAGAAGCGACGGTAAGCAGTAATTATAAAATTGAATTTTTTCAACATTCAGAGCAAACATTGGTATCCCGACAAGTATTGCTTAGTAACTCAATGTTATCAAAAAACCCACAAGAAACTTCAATTCCAAATTCAAAAACCATTACAGGTTTAAAGAAAATGGCTGTAGAATCGAGCAGTACTAGTGAGGCAAATTCGACGCCAACTGACCAAAAGTTAAGGAACTGACCTATCAATCACCCACAAATCAAAAGACTTTATTGCAGACACAAATCTCCAGAACGAATTTAACGACTAAAGAATTAACCGGATCCAGTTTTGAAAGTGCTATGGATAGCGACGTTAACAGTACTATACCATTCACTAAGAAAACCGCTCAACAAGTCATCCACTCAGCTGATATACACTACGAAGAAAAAACGAACCTATCAACAGCCGATTTAAACAAAGTATCCAGCTCATTATCCAAGTATAAAGTGAACACGTTTAAATTATAAATATGAAATCTTTTATTAGCTTTTCTACTGAAAGTTTTTGTTGCTTTTTAACGATAAAATCAAATTACTCGCTAAACTATAATTTTTCCTGACAACTGTTACAGTGCTTAAAATTAATACCTGCTAATATACAGTCAAGAATACAACTGGTCACCGTGAAAAAGAAATGTATTTTAGGAAACATCTTCGACTAATAAAGCAGCTCATCTCACAACCAGAAGTTTTTTTAATGCTTCTAAAGCCGAAAGAAATATAGCCACCTCAAAAAGTCTTCATCAGGGTACTGCTGCTAGCCCAAGCGTTGTTACATCGACAAAAGAATCACTAAGAAAATCAAGTAAGTCAAAACACCTCATAACAAATAAAAAAACCATAAGTTGAATTTTTGCATTTCGAGTACAAGAATGATGCTTTGATAAAAAAATTTTTTATTGTCAGCTTTTAAACGGTACATAGGATACGCGGTCTACTGGCTAACCTGCAAGCACAAACAACCAAAAGTGCTGTTTTGCTCAAAAAGTTTTAAGTTTTCTTTGTCATTTCTAAAACTGAAAACTCCAACAGTTATAAAAGGCCATCACATAATACTAAACAATTCTAAGCAAAAAAATTGTTTTTTGTTTAATTTCATTAATTTCGTCTTTTAACAGCTAACCAATCAAAAGTTATTACCATTTAAGATTTTTTGAACAATTCAGTCATGCTTTCTCCTCTTGTCGATACCATTACTAAAAACTTTTAGCTTCTGAAGAGTGTAAACTGCCGTGCCCCTCGAATGGTTGGGTTGAAGGAGAAGAGTACTGTTACACGTTCTTGGCTTCCAGAAAATTTAAAAGCTACGAAGACGCTTTGTCTCAGTGCCAAGACTATCTTACCATGATCGGAAGATCAGATTTGGAATCCCCTGAAAATATAAAAATATTCAAAACCTCGAGGTTTTTTCAACAGGCTCTAATCTTGTTTGCAGTTGAACGCTCCATTGACCTTAACATGCTGCAAGACCTTTACGTCTAAAAATTCTCGCTTTCACACGTCATTTTATTTCATTTTTTCTTTTAAAAGAAAACCTTACACAGAAAACGCGAAAAAGTATCGAATTCCGAGATTTTTGGCATAATTCTTACAAGCAGCAAGCTCTGTGATAACTTTAGTCTAGAAAGTCATTTCTTTCTCCTTTGAGAATTTTTATTTTATTAGAGAATCCTTGCAAATTAACGAGTTGATTTACATCTATGCCGAAAAGACGAACAAGTACAAGAGATACAGGCAAGTGGAAGTGGTCAATCTGACAAGTTCAACTGCTTATATGTTGAAAGTGCAGTACAACATTATGAGCACCGAGGAAGCAAAAAACGTTGATGCCATATGCAAACTTCCCAGTAAATTTTTATCAAAACGCTATGGGCTTTGAACGTCAAACCGATTTTTATTTAAATATAAAAATATAAAAATTTTTTTCCGCAATTTGATCGCTAAGACATAGCAACAAAGTACTTCTGCCCAGTCAAATTTACCATTTTAAAGTGTGGATTAAGAAAACAAAGAATTAAATATCAAAAACCAGTTTAGAGTATTGCACAGAACCGCGTTGCCATTTCAAGGAGTTTCAAGTTGATCATAGTAGGCAGGAATACATTTTACTTCCATCATACAGTTCAGTTGGCGTCAATCAAGAAGTTACTCTGCAGTGCACTGCTGATCCAAAAAATTTAAAACTTCTTACATATGTCTGTGGCTCAGACGGACATTTCGAACCTCCACCCTCTGAGAAGCTGTGCGAAGTCACTAAAGGTTGCATCTAGTAGACTACAGTTATTCAATATTTAATCCTTAGCCTTCTGCTAATCTTTAAATCTTTGTCATTATTCTTCTCAATAAACTTTCACGTTGAAATTTTACTAGGTTTTTAAAGAGTTTTTTAACCAAATATTCGTTTAAAGACAGAGAGCGAGAATCAGAAACTAACAGCGAAGTAAGAGCCCACAAAAAATCGTGCAATGAATGTTACTCTAGAGGAACAAGCCGGTGCTTGCAGGTGGGACCAGGGAAAGTTCAGTGTTTGTGTAAAAAAGGATGGTCGGTAAGCGTTTGTAATACACACTTTTCTACCCAAAGAAAGCGTTCTTTAAATCATTTTCTTCACCAAATATTTTTGCGTGGAAGTTAGAGAAAAAGGTGAACGTATGTAGATGGCAAGCTGCTGGAAATCACCGCGATACTGTGACAAAATCGACTGTGGAGATCACGGAAAATGTGTTGAAAAAGTCGATCATGGAAGGTGCGTGTGTGAAAGTGGGTGGTCCGGAACAGTCTGCTCTGTTAATACAGCGAAATTATTTTCTCCTAAAATTTATGATGAAGCAAATTCAACTGCGGCTTTGGAAATGAGAAACATGGTTAGCGCTGTCAACGTTTTGTTATCTTTGTGAACAGATTATTAATTATAAATTACAGCGGTGGAACTTCGATAAAAGCCAATATGGTCTTCTCTTTCTGATTATTGTTACAGCTCTTGCTTTACTCTTCCATTACTATTTCTTTGCTGAAGCCGACAATGAAGCAGATGTATGTTTCAGCTCTAGTTCTTCGCGTATTTTTTTCTTTAGGACGTAAATAACACTGAAGCTAAAAGTTATATTTGCTTTTTTTGACTGTTGCAATGATCTGTTTTTACTTTTAAGTATTAGTTAATTCCGCATTCGGCTTGTGTTTTTCAAGTAACTTCGTTTACAATTCCAGTACCCGCATGAGATGTTACAAAATCATAGACTACGAACGCTTCTGTTTGGAACGGTGTTAAGTTTCCTGTTTCGGCATCCCGCTTATCTAAGCCTTAACACTACCTATGGAGCTAGGATATATAATTTCCTCATTAACGTTTTATTCACTACAGGTACATAAATTTTTTATGAGATTTTTATCATTTTTTACCTCGCCTTATTCACTTTGGTACAAGAAAAGTTCTTTTTTAAGGTCAGTGTTTTTACGTTAAAGAAGCGGAAAATGTACTCAACCTTTTCAACGGTGCAAATATTAACGCCTGGGACATATCACTAAACAACAGTTCGCCGATGCGGTACCTGGTATGGCATTCAGCGTAGAGCTGTCGTTTAAACAATTTGTATGAATAATTTTTTCTGCACCTACTGGTGGAAAGCTTATTTGAATTTGTCGGAGGATAACTTTACAAATGACGTCTAAGCAGTAGAAACCGGAGAAAGCATGGAGTTTATTGCTGGATAGCAAGCGCAGTAGAAGCTTTTGAAGTCTGTTACGCCATTGAGAGATTTTTTCTTTACTGCAGAAATCGCACATGTAATTAACACTTCCACATGAAGTATAAGTCAGGTAGAAGGCGGTACATGACGTATAAAGAGAACGAGAAGCACGAAAGTGTATTAGACAGATGTAGGAACTAGGTTCCATACTTGAGCGACTACACATCAGCTGAATAACGCAGTTGAGGAACGAAGCGAGATATAAATCTTCTCTCTTTCTACAAAAAAAGCTTTCATGATGACCTTAGATTTCCAAATTTTTTCAGCCTTTGAAAGCCAAAAAATGGGTATTGGCTGAGATTCTCAGTTATGCAAATAAAAAATCATTTTTTGCAGCTAATGTTTTTCTTGAGATATCAAACGGAAATTTTACGGTGAAAACCTCAAATGGTTTTTTGAACAAACTTATTTCATTTTAGCGAAATGTATTGTTCTGTTACGTCTTTGCTTCCCTTATGGTGTTTCTTGCGACTTTATTTAACTGGGACTATGTAACAGCCTCGTGGGCTTTACTTGGAACTTTTGACGATAAATATGCCAACTCGTCTCTATTCCTTGTTGCGCTGAATTTTGCGACGGTGTTGAGCGCAGTAAGCGCGGTAGAGAGGGCTTTCACAGTAAAGATGTACTTAATTCTCCTTATCTTTTTTTTCATTAGAAGTTTGCGCTAGAGTATTTACTCTGCTGTTTGATTGGCAACTTCTAAAAGGACGTGACGAAATTAGCACATCAAGAATCTTCGGTCTTACTTTCGTTGAGTGCTGTTGGCCAGTTTTCAAATACTAAAAATATTGTGATTAATTATTCTAGGTTTCGCCCGGACTTCCACCACAGTGTTGTAAAATATTTCGTCGATCAATTACCATACGAAGTTGGGAAGCGGCTTGTGCCGGTAGAAAGAACACCACTGTTCATTGTGATTGGAACTTTCTTACATTTTTTAACGTGGTTTCTAATTCTCCTCTCCACCAGCGATCTTTCTTCCAGAATAGCATCAACGTATGTAGCTTAGAAAAAATTGAAAAGAAGAGGTTGTAGCGTTTTTCTCTGTCTTTTCGTTCAGGCCAGAACGCTTCTGTGTCACTCAATTGTTAGATAATTATCTGTTTCAACTTATTCTGCTTCAAATGTCATTTTCATCTTGCGATTGGAACTTGTTTTTCCAGACAGTCACTTTTCTGGAAAATTTGAGCAACATCTAATTTTAGGTGTGCCACAGTAGTCTTCGTGCTTTACGGGATATATATCTCACTGGAAGCTATAGAAACGTTGTCTCCAGTAAGTACTGCTTTATCACAGAATAAAAAAGTGTTTTGTCTATCTAATTTTTGTAAACAATTTATAAATAGAAAGCAAGAAATTAAGTTCTCTTTAAAGGTGAAGAAATACGCTACAATCGCTTTTATGACATTGCTGCCTAAAAATATTTCTCCGAAGTATGAGTTCCACGACATGAAAACTCGAAATGAGATTCTTGCTGAGTGGAAATGCGAAAAATGCAACTCTGAGAAAGCTTACGAGAAGAAACTGCTAAATAATATCAAGAGTAAAAATCTTGGTCAGTGCAAAGTAGTTAATGGAAAATTATCTGAGAAGGTAAGCGTATAGCTAAAGCTAAAACCTGACTGTTGTTAATTATAATTGGTTTTGTAAAGCTATTACTTAGAAATTTTACTTGTTACTTTGTCTGATACTGTTGAGTGCAGGGATCGACTTAAAATCTCAAAATTTTAGCACAGTGAAATGCCGTACGAGTTATCTTATCAGCTGCCTGATGATCCTCCGCCTCCTATGGCGTCTATGGACCACTTCATGGCAGCTAATTCAGAATATGTGCCAATATTTTATTGTCAAATTGTTCAAAGAGAACTCACAACTTTTTATCTTGCTCGTCGCAAAAATGGAAGCTCCCAAGAGGAAGCCATTCAAGTGCTTTAGTTTCCTTTGTTTTTGTTTCAGCATTACATGCGGCTGTAAAATTAGCAGTCTTTTAGTACGCTATGGATCTCTATTACGGCTATGATGACTATGAAAGAGAAATAACGTCACAGAGAACTCTTGTTGTGCATCAGTGGCTTTGTGATATCAAAAGTGCTGATAAGTTGCCCGATAACACTTTGGTTGAAAAGGCTAGTAAAGAAATTTTTATTTCATTTGTTTAAAACAGCGGAGTTTTCTACTGCGTTAGGATGGTGCCGTTTATAAAGCAATAATTATGTGTTTAGCTATCTCTTCCGATACGTGACAGTATCTACTTTGCTTGCAGGAACTTCCTCTACCGAAAAAGTTTGAATCAAGTTTAAACAATAGCTCAGTGTTCTATAAACTTGTACATGTAGATGGCGAAACAAGACCGGCACTGGTTACCAGAAATCCGGCAATTACACTAAAGTTTCAGGTAAACTGTACTAGTTTTTTGAAAATTTGAGATGATTATCGTGCTCTGGGTATTATTTTTTTTTGTTTGATTATTAAACTCTAAGTGACACTTTGTTTTTAAACAATTGTACATGAGTTTAAATTCTATATAGTTATAAGTAGTAGATAGATCTGTACCTTTTTAGGAAAGTGAGATGATGAAAACCATTGCTGATGAAGTAAGTGCCAGAAATGAGCCTTACGACTATTTATACTCTAATGACTTTATTGTTGAATATCTAGAGGGCAAGTACGGCAAAGATGTTATAGCAGACTTGCTGGTACAATTTTGCTTTAAGGCTTGGGTAGTTCTCTGCTGTTTTTACCAAACAGTGGTGCACTTTACTGGTAGTATTGGTACCAGCGTCTTTTGAGGAATTTGGTCGGTCAGCTTTCAGAACATTCAACCTGGTTCTATAAACACTATATCGTTTTGCTCTCTCAGCAAAAACATTGAAAGGAATCCTCGTATGCGGCCACTGGATGATTTTTGGCTTGACGAGAATTTACCCGGATTTACTGGTCCTCGTAGGCGGTGCAATTGGAATGGCTTCGTTTTTAATTCAAGTGAGCGCTTGCAACAATTTTTGAACGACTTACTGGAAAAGCAACAAGATGACGACCTGGACAATAGCATGGAGTGCGAAACAGCATGCAGCATTATAAGAAGTTAGTTCTTATGTGAAAGCATAAACTCTTTTTCCCACTTTTACCAGTTCTTCATCAGAATATAATTTGCAGCTTTTTGCCTAAATTGAGGGCATTTGAGCTGTACGAGTTAATCTAACAAAAGCATTTTATACTTGTTGTAATTATACTTGCATAAGTCACTATTTTGTGACTTAAATTACAGGAAAGCATACAGTTTTTTACTTCTGACTCAGTTTTAATTTAAGACAGTCGAATGAGACAACTATTTCGCTGGTTTATGTAGAATGGTGGTTAGCTATTTACAAGCGTTATACTTTGGTATGTACAGCGAAGGCCGCCTTTACACAGTGATCTGTCCAGTATTTATTAACTGGTTGTAAGGCAGGTGAAGGTTCTTAAGCACGGCCTATGAACTTGTTTTTTCTTCATTTCAAACTTTTTTTTAGTAAGGTTTCAAAGGAAAAAGAAACAGGAAAAAGAATTTTTTGAGTTGTATTACAGGCTTTTTATATTATCAACTTGAAGAATAATAAGAAAATAAATGGTTTAAAAAACCAGATCACTATGCATGAAACGCTTAAAATTGGTGCTGCAAACCTTATTAATTTTGGATTGAATCTGTTGCAGTTCGGTGACAGGGAAAACAAGACTATTATCGATAGAATAGCACTTCAACAGTTTTATTATACCGTTATTTGATATATGTTTGCAAAAATCTGTCTTTTGAAAGACATTAATAAGGTGTTTTAAGTTGAGGAGTCATGGTTTATTATTGAATGCAAACACTTTTACAGAGTTTACTTGTTCTTTTTTTTTTTCATTTTTGTCTCAAATGTTTCTTTGTTGTATTTTGTGGGTTTTTAAAGTTTCAGGAGTTTCAATTTTTATGCGTGTTATGCCATTCTTTTTTAGTACTACAGTAGCAGTGAATCGATCTCCACAAAAAAAAATTAACAAAGAAATCAATCTTATTTTTAATATATAAAACATTTCCTTATTCAAATAGCTGTTTTAAATTAATATTGGAAATAGCTTTTGGCAAAACAATAAATCTGTGTTTATTCCATTTAGTTGCTTTCGCCAAAAAACAATAAAAGTGGTGGCTGTGAGTGACACGTTCCAAGACATCTAAAAAAAGATTAACTGAGTCTAGCTTTTTTCAACAACGAAGTCTCAGAAATTTCGCTTCTAAATGCGACAACACCCACAGTGCAAAAACGGTACTATTGACAATCAGAAGTTATAAATAAATTCTTTTCATCACTTGAGAACTTTTCACTTCATGACCGCTTCTGTGAATGCTAATGCAACTTTCTAGGTAGCTATGATTCTGATTAGTGAAAATGTCATTATTCTTTTATTTCTTGCGTTAGCCGGAATTTCGACTCATCGCTGTAACATTCTTTTTCGGTCAAATACCATATCGAGTTGGTAAACAACATAGCCGCTAGGCTGAGGACTGCTGATCATTTTAAATATGCACATTCTGAAACGGTTTTTCTTTCTCCTTTCAAATAGAGGTTTTTTTGCAAAACATTAGTGTACTTTCTATACTTATTATGTAGAAAAAGATTTCATGGCATTTTTCCTCATCTTTCCAAATAACTCCTGAAATTCTTGTTTTGATAAGCCATCAGGAACTCACCCCTCTCTATTTCTACCACATCAAATGTTTTAAATCATCAAAATAAATTTTAAAATTGTCGGTAGCTATTTAGTTTCAAATAAGAGGCTTTGGAAAATTTATTGTCATAGGTAACCTGTATGTCAAACTGAAATGTTTTGAGGTTTGTAAAGAAGATAATAAGACGAGAAATACAAACCCCTCCCCCCCCCTCCAAAAAAAAAATTATAACTGAATATTTTATTATTATACAATGTGAAACGGTTATTATTTTTGCTTTTTTTGGTCTTTACTCCAGAAAAGAAAAAGTAGCTTTAGTCTAATGTAGCCGCAACGTAGTGCAAAGTATTTGGAGAAAATTCATTAACTTGAAGAGTACCGCGCAGCAAACTTCTAAGCTTCTGACATTGTCGTAACAAGGTTAAAAAAATATTTGAAAAAGCAAAAAAAGGCAGAATTTTTAAAATTGTATATAAGTACATAAAAATCAACGACCCGTGAATAAATGTGTCGGCCAGCTCTGACAATGAATAATTTTTACTTTATTTGTATAACTCGACATACTCTATTTTTACTAATGCTTAGATCACAAAGCTACACTTTATCGTTTGTTACGGTACCATTTTCACAGTTATAGATCCTTTCTTCTGTAATGATGTCGTATTTCATCAATAATTTTTTTCTGATCTACAGTTTCAAGAATATGTGGTGCTGATAGAAGTATACCAATTGTGCCACCGAGTGTTATACCAACAAATACACAAAGTAAAAAACGGTCAATAACCATTCCAACATATTTCCAGTCTTCACGTTGCTGAAATAGATAAAATATGTAGATTAAATAAGCTTTTGAAAACATTGAACAGAAGGTTCTCTAGAAATAGATTTACTCAAGCTAACTAATCAAATTTTGCTGCTAGAACAGTGATTGTATAAAAAAAAACCAAAAAAATGAAGCTAACAGTAAGAGACAAGGTGATTTGATTTTTTGCAACCAATATCTTTTCTTAAAAGTTTCATTTTAGGAAATAGATTAATCAAGTTACTATGCTGAGAATATTTACAAAAATAACGTCAGAGAATTTTAAAACTTACGAGTTTTAGTTTTAGTCTGTAAATTTCTAAACCTGAGAACAGAAAATAATCTTGCATATAACTTTTTGTAATGATTTTCATTAGCAACTGCTGATTAAAACATAGAAAATTTTTTTTATTGCAAAGACAAACATTGAAAATTAAAGTTTAATGTAAATAATTTTTTTTAAATTAGAACCATTTTTTGTTCTTCATTTTTCTTTATATATTCAGTAATATATTCAATTGCGTTAATAGCGTTTATAGCCTTTTTGGTTAGCGGGTAAAATGGAGTGGTTACTGGATCGCGTTCTCTCAGTAACTCTTCAGTATGGCTTAGATGCGTTAGTTCGATCTCTGCTGCCGTAAGTTTGGGTTTAATTGCACTGTTTTTAAGATCCCTTAAAAAATTATACCAGAATCGCGTAGGTAAAAAAAAACTAGATTATTTATTAGTTAAACAGAGATTAAAAAACTTGATCAATTTAAATTAATTCGACGAAATCAACTGACAGATTATTTCCAACTGTTGAACAAAGTGGATGGTGCAAGTTCATCTGCAAAACCGGATGTGGTTGTGATGCTGATGACTTCCTTCTGCACTGTATGTCTTGACTTCCACGAGCAAATTTGTGAAGTGCCGATCGCGGTTTTTTTAAACAGAGCATTTTTGGCATAAACTGCAAAAATATTTTCGGAAATTCTATTTTGCTGACTCTGCAGTCAGCGTCTCGAAAGCTGATAAAAATGGAAAAGTGACATTACCTGGAGAAATATGGATCGAACCCAGTCAGGCATTGAATGGGTTGATGGATTACGAAAATATACGTTGATATCGACAACGGTTACCAAAATAGTGATAACGTTTAACACGAATGTCAGTAGTAAATATTTAGCCATCAAAGGAATTGTTGAAGATGTAGGTGGCAATATTTTTGACACCAATAACAAAAAAACAACAATTGAAAGTAATATCGCAGCTGTCAACGTTATTTTTTCTCCTGTAAAAATCGCTACCTAACTTTTTTTTCTCTAGTTTTTTTGTTTTCTATAAAAAACTTTTTTTAGATCGTTGTCTTTAGATTGTGCTCAGTGATGAGTCTTTTTAATTTTGAGTTGAACGGTTAATTGACCTAACGTTCTAACAGTTTACAAAACTGAAAAAGCTTACGAGAATCTGTGGGCAAATAAAAAACAACAACGCTAAGGAATGCCATTAATACCGTCGGAATGATAAGCATTACTGTGTAAAATAATGTTTTTCTTCTGCAACAAAGCAAAAAACTTTAATTTGTCATTAAAAAGTTACAGTAACGACCAAACCTTTAGTAGAGTTTTTTAATTTGAAAGCTTTAAAAAAAAATTTGCAAGACAACAAAGTCTAATAATGAACTGGAAAAGCTGAAGGCAAGTAAAGTTCAAAAGAGAAGCAAGTGTTACTTTCTCGATTACCTTATAATTATTTGGTATTCTATCCAAGATTTGTTCTTGACTAGGCTAGCGGGTGCATCGATCAGATCCCATATAGAACTGGTTCTGTACTCTGATATATCCATATATGCCCCTTCTACGAAATCCAGTTTTATTTCATTTTCGTTGTACTGAAATGTGCTGATATGACACGAATTAGGATAGACGACAACAGAACTACAAAATCAGGAAGTTTATAAAATCAGCCATAACATGTTGTATGGCTTAGCTTATATGGGTTAGCTACTGGCATATGCAGCGGTTAAATCTCGTCTTCAGCTGAAAAACTAAGCATTGTTTAAAAACTTCTGCTTTTAATTTGGATTTTTCAAGTTTTAGGTCACTAAGAATGCTCTAAGAATAAAAAAATATTTCGCTATATGTTTTATAAGAGAATAGAAGTAACAGTTTTTTAACTTTTAGCTTTTCTTGAACACATTGACAAAGGATTAACTGCTTTAATCACACAATCCTTTTTGTTTTTCGTTCTTTCTTTCACATCTTCCTGGTAATCGTTTTTTACACTCCTCAGCAAATGACATACTGACAGTAACAAAATGATTTTTCTCTACAGTTTTTCAGCTTTTTATTTAAACAGCTCAGTATACACTCTCTTTTTAGCAATAATAGAATTACAAAAAATTTAAAACACTTGAGGTTAGTCTTTTCATTAGCAACAGATTTCTTCTTATTCCTATTTATTCTCTTTTTCAGTATTCATTCTAAGAACCAAGCGTTTTTCGTCTAATTTTTTCGCTATTTCAGGCCAAAGATGAACTACCTTAACAATGACAGAAGCAGAAAATAAAAAGAAATGTTTGTTTTTTATTTTATATGACACTAGAAACTAAATTTACGTTTAAGCTTTCTGTTATTCAAATAGAGTTACCCTTAAAAAAAAAAAAAGTTGTGAAATAACGCATGTCTTTTCGGTTTTTTTGCGTTTTTTTTAAAAAAAAAAAAGCTTTTTTCAGTTTTTCTAATGTAACATAACCCCAAACTGCATCATTGTCGAACCTCTACATAAAAAGAAAACATATTTTAAAGCCGATTTTGGAGCTCAATTTTATTTACTGTTTGTTATTCAGTATCAGTAGCAAATTTATCCAATTTGATACTGATGTGAAAGATTCATCTGCAATCAGTGCTTGAACCTTTCCTTAAATCTTACAGATCACTAAACGCTTATGAACGTTTTCAGTAAAGATTAATGTTTATAGTGACTGAATAAAAAGACACATAAAAAGAGTTGCTTAGTGGTAAATATAGTATACAACCGATTCTATTTGTCTTAGTACTTCAGTCTAGCAGTTATGCATTTAAAAAAAAAAAAACAGTTAGTTTTTTTTACCGTAAATTTTAGTAAAAAATAAAAAATTAAAAGTTTTATTTATGCAATTACAATCTTCAATTCTTTAGAAACAAAAGTTTGTAAACAATAAAAAAATAAAGCAAAAAACCTAAAGGTTACAAAATAATAAAGCTTTTATAAAAAGTTATAAAAAAAGAAATATTAATACTGAAAAATAACGTTTGTTGAGCGAATAAATTTTTTCTTTAAATGACCTAGAAATTTTCACTTACAAAGCAATAAAGTAATAACTTTGTCGTTTTAAAACTAAACTACTCTAACTAAAAAAAAAAAGAAAAAAAAACAAAGAAAACATTTGTTAAATACAGGTAAAAATGATGGCAACTTTGAGCAAATAAAAAATTATATATTTTACTGGCTTTAATACTGTTTCTTCTTGTTCTGTCGTCCAGAACCTTTCCTTGTCTTCAATTCTCTCATTTATTACTGCTACGTATCTTGATTTCATATACTTTTCATATATTTTCATATACATATATTTCATATATATTTTATACTTGGTCTTTGTAGGTTTAGTCTATTTATTCTTCATTTTCGTTGACAAATTTAGACTTTCTAATTTTGTTTTTGTTTTAAATTTTTTTACTGTTAATCTATTTTTAGCATTAATTGTGATACTAAAAGTTAAACTTTTGCATACTGTCCAAGATCCAAAATTCATATGGCACTGTTGTTCATCAAAGGGGAAAAATTCGACATCGATAATACAAGAAGATTTGTAAATGGCTGGTGGAACCCATAACATTTGACCCGTATATTCAATAACAACATTTGGTTTAAACGATACTTCATAATTTCCATCAGCACTGAAACAGTCAGTTTTAAGAATATTTTTGTGAAAACGAAAACAATTTTGCATTTATTTTAGAAGAATTAAACTTACTTATTGAAAAGCACAATATCCGGTAACCAAACTTTATCAGATGCGACACGTACTTTTTTTAACTCACCAAAATGTACCGGATTCCATCGCATTTGAAAATCTTTCCATTGCTAAAATATATAATTTTACCATGTTTCATTTACTGTAGCAACAGAAATGTTATACTAACTGACTGAGTTTCAGTTGCAAATATAGTTTATTTTCAGTCAAAAAAAACTGCTAATATTTTTTTTACTTAAATTAGAAATAATTGGTTTAAAAAAGCTTATGCAAAAATCTAAAATTTAAATTTTATTTGAGGATCTGCAAAGTTTAGGCTTTGCCAACACTAAGTTCAAAAATTTTAGCAATACTTTGTTTCTTACCACGGTGAAATTTTGCTTTATTTGGTTCAACCATTCAGATAACAACTTTAAAAAATTTCTTCTCACTTAAAACGAAGAATTTTTTTACCTGTTACAGGGAAAATTTTTTGCATTTTCTGCGAACAATAAACTTTGAAAATTTCATCTCAAAATTTTCTAATATTTTTCAACAGTGCATCTGAGAAAATTGAACATAAAATTCTGTAGCAGCTTCTTTCGTCTTAGTTATTAAGTTTACTGAAACTACTTTAGAACAACTTACAATCTATTTAAAAAAACCATTTTTACATTATTGAGTTGAGTAAAAAATATATATTTGTAAATACCCACTAATGTTAGCCAAACGTTGGTGTGCATAATCTGATTTCTTTCGATCTGAAATTTTTGAAACTTCTCTAATAATCGAAAAAATTTGGAAGAAACTTTCTTAATGGTTTATGCCATAAACTAATAAAACTGAGTAATACAGCTGTTTGTTGACACATTTTGTTAAAGCCACAATCTATCAAGTTTATCGTACCAAGAAATTTTTGCAAAATTAATTATATTAATACCAAAAATGAGAAAATTTTAATGAAAAAATTTAGGCTTACAACTTTGATGATGTAAACAAGTTGTACAGTCATACTGACGATTAATGGTGGCGATGAAGCGTTTCTTACAGGGCGTATAAGTGGATTAACATTTTTCAGAATATGAGCTATTAGACGATCCTCGTCATCAGATGCTTCGACGACGACTGAAAACGGTAATTACACATGAATTTTCATCAAAATAACAGATGTAATTAAATTTTTGCATGAAAATTTTGACTTGCAATTTGAAAGAAAAGATGCACTCATTTGTGTATATTGTCAAGTGATAGTATTAGTACCAAACTTTAGAAAACAGCAATTTTACAGCTTACATGCAAAAGTTGAATAAATTCTTGGTGATAGCTGCAGAAACATTATCTCCCTCAATGTTTATAAATGATCTAAACATTTATTTTAAAACTAGGCTGTGTAATTGCTTTTAATTGAAGTGTTTAAATAGTAGTAGTCAGAAAGACAGTATATTTTGGTTGTAAAAGACTAGTTTTTCCTTGTATAAAATTACTTTTCTACATAAAGCAGAGGTAATTAGTTTATTAAATAAACGAGTATAAACTGCTGCAAAAAAATGCTTTGCTAGCATTGGTGTTAACAAAATTATAATCAAAAAATTGTTTTATTAAGGCCAGCAAAGTTCCGTTTTGATTCTGGAAACTAACATTCACTTACGCTGACTGTTAAGTTGCTGGTACTTTGCTAAATATTAAAATTGATTTTAGTATTTATCAGTTTGTAGTCAAAACGCAGTAACAGCAGTTAGTAATACAGTATTTGACTGTACTTTTAAACGACTTAAATAAAAATTCTTTAGGAAAAATTTGAAAACGAAGACTTATTTTTTACAATAGTTTATAGCATTGGTAAAGCTGTTAATTACCAGTTTTGAATTAAAACGCAAATTAGGTCAACTATTTACTACAGATTTTACAAAATCTTAGATGATTAATTTCATTTTGGCAGTCATTTCAGTATGGCGATTTGTTTTCCGCCGAAAACTGCAAATGTATATTAAATTGATAACCCAAGTAAAAGTTTAAACATATTTATTATCTTACCTGTCCAGAAGCAAACTGCAGCTGCCAAAATAACAGTAACAAAGCGTATCACATCAGTACTGTTTTGCATCACTAATATTTTACCGGTTAGCCTTGAAATTCTCTGTTCGCCATTGAATTTCTGAACCGATGGTCACTGTCATCAGTATTTTACGATATTTAAAACTCTAAAATTGTTTACACTTTTTAAGTTCAATTACTTAGAAAGAATACCTATAATAAGAGTCCGCTGTACAGTAAAACTTGTAACTTACAAATCGTGTTAACGCTATAACGTAGTTATATAAAAAAATAATACAAAAAAAATAGCCGATAAAAAGTTTATTTAAAGATAAAAAAGATAAAAACTTTTTTTTTTACCAGACGTCTGCTTGTGATTTTTCAACCAAAAAGTTATTTAATTTCTTTCTAATTTTTACTAGAGAAAGCTGAGATGACTCATTGTTTTTTTAAGTCATTGAACGTTCCTATTCACTAATAGTGTCCAACGGTAAAATAGATTTTATTCTGAAAAACAAAACAGATTTATTTAAAACAGACTAAAATTGGCTGTAGCATTTGCGACAGAAAATGAAAAAAACTGAAATAATTATGCTTTTTGTTTATATTTACAGATAGCTGCAAAAGTTGAAAAAGTACAGTAAGAGAAGAGAAAATTATTCCTTAAAATTTTAGCTAGAAAAAAGCAGCAAAGATCAAAAGAAGCTTTTAATTGGTTGTCTGTCGTAAAAATTGAAAACAGAATTAAATAAAAATTAAGAATAGTTCTGACTGATCGATTAGCACTTAGTGACGTAGGTTTTTAGTGTAACTTTTCATCTTCTTGCTATTAATACTTAGCTTAGTCGTTGGTGGTAAAAGAAGTTGCTTCTATACAAAAGATGATAATGGAACAGAATAGAACAAGAGATTTATTCCCGTCGACACAGTTGTAGAAAAAAAGGCCCGACTTGTTTGTGGAATTAAAAAGCTGTAAGCAGAGCCCTTATCTAACTCACAAATAATTACAAAATTTTTGATCTATAAATTAATTATTCTGCTTTTTTTACTTTCAAAATACAAAAGTTTCTTTGAAAAAGCCAACACTATTCAAACGCTTAAAACAACAGGATCAAATAAGAAAAGTAGAGAAAAAAATGCCAAAATTCTATCGTAAAATGCCTAAATGACTGAACAGATTTTGAAACGATACTGAAAGAACAAACGATAAACCATAAAGCAAGAACAATTTGATGATTGATTATAGCCAATATTTCGTTGCAGCCGTAACAGATTTTTCAGACAAACTCTTGAAAATAACGAAGAAAATATAACGAAAGTTGAATTTATTAATGTTCTATTAATTGTATAAGCAGAAAAAAAGAGCAACAACAGGAAAGAAAAAAAAATTAAAAAATGATTAAATAGATAATAACAAAAAAAAAAAAAAAATTGAGAAGCAAATTAAAACTTAATCTCTAACTTTTTCTCTTCATTAAGCACATAGACCAAAAATCTCATTTTTTTGCATAAAAATGCTATAAAAAGCATTAAAATACAATCATCGAGAAAAGCGATTTTAAAACGACATAGTTTTATCAACAGAAAAACAACAATAAGTGTTGGTAAAATATCTGCTGATAATTGTTCAGCAAACTGTTCTGTCGATTGTGCAGAACAGAATTAGTCGTTTATTTAACTGCATAAAATTGCTAACTGTAATTGCTCAAAGTCTGCATTTATGCTGTAACACATAAACTAGTTAAAAAAATTAGGATTTGTGCTAAAAACTACTAAAAAAGATTGGCTGTATTTTATTACCAGTAGTTGTTAAAAAGTGTTTGATATAATTTAGAAAAGAAAGTTTAAAATATTGCTTGTAATATGTAAAAATAAGTTGTAAAAGTTATAAAAAAATTGTAAAAATAAAGGTGGAAAATTCAACCAAACTCAGTAAAACATCAAAGTGATTCAAAGTGATTCTGATTCATTCTTGAAACGTCCAAGAAGTATTAGTAACTTTTTTGGTTTTGTTTTTGACAGATAAGCTTTAAGTTTTGAATTTGTTTAATCATAATAATTTATTAGTTATGTTGACTATTTACCAATAAATTAGAGTAAAACTACAAAATGCCTCTTTGTTGTTTAATAATAATCATAATAAAAGCGGTAGTAGTAGAGTAATAATACTAGTAATAATAATAGTGATAGTAATAATAATACTAATAATAATACTAATAATAATAATAATAAAT